TTTTAATTAAAGTGTAACTGTTAAAAAACCTGTTACTTTTTCGGAAAAATTTCAATCATGGATGATTAACGAAGGTATAATTTTTTTATATAATGTATATTTTTTTATTCTAATATTTATAATATTATTTCTAATATTATTTCTAATATTATTTCTAATATTATTTCTAATATTATTTCTAATGTTATTTCTAATATTATTTCTAATATTATTTCTAATATTATATTATTAATCTAATTTAGGTGCTAGAAATATATTTTTTTTCGTATGGATATTCCTTCATGCTCTTGTATTTGCTATGGCCTTCCTCAATTATTTCTTTAGTGATAATCTTAACACTGCTAGACAACTTTTTGGAATTACATTTACAATGGCTCGTTCTGCTGCTTTAGTTTTACATGTTGATGCTGCTATGATTTTATTCCCTGTTTGTCGAAATTTAATTTCTGTACTTCGTTCTACTCCTTTGGGTGGTATTATTCCTTTTGATGAAAATATTGAATTTCACAAAGCTATTGGTTGGTCAATAGTATTTTTCACTATTGTTCATACTGTTTCTCATTGGATTAACTTTTATGAACTTGCTCGTGCTCAAAATGGTGGTATTGTTATGTGGCTTGAACTTAATTTCCTTACTGGTCCTGGTGCTACTGGTTATGTTATGTTAATAGCTTTATTTTTAATGGTTTTTACTGCCACTGAAAAAGCAAGACGTCGTCATTTTAATAGATTTTGGTATCTTCACCATCTTTTCATTCCTTTCTTTGGTGCTTGGTCTTTTCATGGTGCTTTCTGTATGATTAAACCTGATCGTCCTCCTTATTGCAATGATATTGCTGTATTTTGGAGATATTGGATCGCTTCTGGTGTTATTTATATTAGTGAACGTATTTTAAGAGAAATACGTGCTCAACAAAAAACTTATATTTCAAAAGTTGTTATGCATCCTTCTAAAGTTTTGGAAATTCAAATTAAAAAAAATATTACAACACAAGCTGGTCAATACGTATTTTTATGTTGTCCTGAAGTATCTTATTGGCAATGGCATCCATTTACTTTAACTTCTGCTCCTGAAGAAGATTATATTTCAATTCATATTCGTGTAGTTGGTGATTTTACTGAAGAATTAGCTAAAAAACTTGGTTGTAATTTTGAAGAAGAAGCTGCATTACGTAAAAAAAATAGAGATCGTATAAAAAGTCAATATGATGGTATTGATATTTCTTCTGATAATCCTAAATTATTAAAAATTTTACCTCGAGTTATGATCGATGGTCCCTTTGGTAGTGCTTCTGAAGATGTTTTCAAATTTGAAGTTGCTATGCTTGTAGGGGCTGGTATTGGTGTCACTCCATTTGCTAGTGTTCTTAAGAGTATTTGGTAAGTTTCATTTAATTTAATTAATTAATTAATTTATTAATAATTTATTAATAATTTATTAATAATTTATTAATAATTTATTAATAATTTATTAATAATTTATTAATAATTTAAAATTTTAAATTTATTATTCATAAATTTATCATTTATTATCTTCTAAATATATTAGGTATCGTGTCAATTATCCAAAAAAATCTACCAAGCTTCGTAAAGTATACTTCTTCTGGATTTGTCGTGATTATGAAGTAAGTTTTTTTTTATATTTTTTTCATTTACAATATACAATATACAATATATTCATTATATTCAATATATTAATATCATTCTTAAATCTTTTTAAAAGTCCTTCGAATGGTTCCAATCGCTGTTGTTAGCACTTGAAGAACAAGATATTGAACAATTTATTGAAATTCATACATATCTAACTGGCAGATTGCGTCATTCAGAAGTAGGAAATATTCTTGTAAATGATGATGGTAATATAAAAGACACTATTACAGGTCTTAGAGCTCCAACTCATTTTGGACGTCCAAATTGGGATAAAATTTTCTCAAATATGAGAGATCAATATCCAGCTACTGATGTAGGTGTATTCTTTTGTGGTCCAGTGCCACTTGGAAAATCACTTCATGAAAAATGTAATTTATGGAGTCAAGGATTTGAAGACGGAACAAGGTTTTTCTATGGAAAAGGTTGGTTTTTCTTAATTATATAAAAATTCATATAAATTTGACTATGAATTAAATCATATTTACTAATTATTATTATTATTATTATTTTTTTAAACAGAAAATTTCTAAGAAAAAAAAAGTTTCTTTAAGACCGATTATTTAACAATGTTTAAAAAAACGCAGAAATGAAAATGATGAATTTTTTATTGTAAAACAATAAAAAAAAAAAAAATAGTTGTTTATAAATTATAAATATTTATAAAAATTGTCTTATAAAGTTATGTTGATTAAAATGTATATCAATCTTTCTAACACTTTGTGTTAACGCTAATACGTAATTAAATTTACTTTTTTTAACGTTAAACATTACCTTAAAAAAAATATATTCAACCTAATTTTTTTTAAAAAAAATTAAATACTGTAGTATCGAAAAATTATCTTTTGATTAATAACTGTATATAAAAAGGTTGATAATATACTGTTTAGAAATTACCATCTTTTTTTTTTGAATAAAATAAAATTTTGGTTTTTTAACTAACGTTTTTAAAAGGTATGCTATTTTTATTTAGAACTTTACTATATATATATTTATATATATAATATATTTAGGAAATTGATATTTCTACACCCTTTTTTTGATAATGCCACACCCTCGCCGATCATTCTAATTTTTTTAAAACTTTAATTGAGGATATCTCGATATACATCTAATCAAATTCGTTGAACTTTTTTTTATTTTAATTTAGAAATCTGTAGAATTTAAAGAAAAAAAAAGTTCATAGAATTTGATCAGGTGATACCGAGATATCTTCGATCAAAGTTTCACAACAATTCGCAACACGGCCTCTACTTGATAGACGTTCAAAATTTACAAAATCTTTGGTCGAGGATTTCTCGACAACTACCTGACTAAATTCAATAAACTTTTTCTTATTTTAATTGTAGAAAATTTGTAGAAATCAAAGAAACAAAGTTCATCAAATTTAATCAAGTAGATGTCAAGATATCTTCGATCAAAGTTTCACAACCTGCAACACAGCTTCTATTTGATAGACATTAAATTTACAATACTTTGACCGAAGATATCTTGACAACCACCTGATTAAATTTGACAAGCTTTTTTTTTATTTTAATTGTAGAAATCATTGGAACTAAAAAAAAAAGTTTGTTGAGTGTGGTCAGGTAAATATCAAGATATCTTCAATCAAAATTCGAAAAAATTGTAAAAATTAGAATGATCGTCAGGGGTGTGGCATTATCAAAAAAAGGGGTGTGGAAATATCAATTTTCTATATTTATATATTATATATATTAGGCAAAGACATTTTTACTTAGTTGTTATAGGTCAAATATACAGTATATTTATGAAATTTTTTTTAAAAAAATTGTTAATTTATCTAAAAATTTATATATAAAATTAATTTTTTTTTTTTTAATTATTAAGATGATCTCTTGGTTGATGATTTATTATTAAATTTAGATAAGTTACAATTTTTATCATAAAAGTATAACTAGCTACATGTATAATTTTTAGTTGTCTAATTTAAGTAGTTTATTCTAAGGTTCTATACTAGCTACTTTACCTATAGCCTAACTAGAAAGTTATTTATTTAAACTTTTTAATTATAATTTTTGTATTCTATTTTTAATCTAATCTGAATATAATCTTACTACTTGTAAATATAAATCTATATAATACTACTAAATTAATAACCAATTTAGAACTCTTTTTGGCTTATTTTTGAGATAAACTTAATACTATATTTTACATATACATAGATATATGCTTATTAAATAATTTTATTCTAATTAGTATATATTATTTGTTATTATATTTATATCTCATACTATCTTTTAAGATATTGCTATAATACAATTCATATTTAAGCACAACTTTTCTAATTAGTTCTCTGTTATTTATTTTTTACTCTTATTAAGATTTACAAATTTTAGTATTCTATTTTATCTTTTTGTAATAAATTTAATTTTAAGTATTTTGTTTTTTTTTATTTAGCAATCTTGCTTTTATTACATGAGAGATATATATTATTTATACAAAGTATTTAGCTAAAGCTTTCAACCTCCCTCTTTCTCAATAAAAGCTTACTTGGCTGCTCTAAGGTACCCAAATACGATCTGCCACAGCAACTCTTTTTCTTACTTCTGGCTTTCAACTTTCTGAAAGTATACCTATTAGATCCTAGAACAGTAGTTGCTAGCCTTGTCAAAACTGCCTACTTTCTCTTCTAATTTTTCATTCTTCTCAAGAGGCATGAGACAAAAAGGAAGAATTTTATAAAAAGAAATATGATGAAAATAAAAAAAAAAGAAAAAACAGAAAAAAAAAAGTAAGAAAAAAAACGCAGATGTTAAAAAAACAAAACAAAACAAAAAAAAACAGTATTGATAGCACATTTATACCTGTGTCAAGGCCTAAAAAATTATATATTAATTGCAACTAATTAATATATCTTGCTTGTAAAATTTCACTTTATCATTATATACTTATTTTAAACATATTACCAGAATCAGATATCTTCTAAATGAGAGTACTGGTCTCTTTCTTGTATCATAGCACTGCATTGGTAAACAAAACAAATATGTGGTTACATTCTATTAAGTTCATTTAAATTAGATATGTATAAACAATGCTGATCTTTTGGAGAGGGTAAGCCAAATTACCTACTTTTTTTGAAAATTTTAGTAAGGTCAACAAAAAACAAGAGAAAAGAAAATACATCTGTACTAATACAAAAGAGTGTGTATTTTTTATTAAAATCATCAACAGATTTACTATCTTTGCATATACTAATTTTTTTGATAAGTGATAAACTTTGAGCTTGTTAACAAATAGCATATGAGAACTATTTCTAAACAACTAGTACTATGCCTGCAGTAAGTGATAAACTCTGAAGCTACTAGCAAATAGTATATAAAAACTATCTCTAAATAATAGCTACTGTCTTATAGCCACTCTTTCTTGTATCTTATAAGCTCTGGTTCAGACATTTTGTTTTTTCTTTAGTAAAAGTTTTTGAAATATTTTGTATAGATGATTGTTGGAAAGAGTTGATTTTGTTTAAGCATTTTGTAGTTTTTTAATAAAAATTATAACTATATACTATATTAAGCAAGTTTAATAATTTTAATTTAAAAAGCATATTAGTTATTATGCTATAAAATTTTTTAGAACTTTAATCAAAAATATTTTATTAACTATTTAATTAAATTTAATGACTATTTGCTATACTAAATTTAGTACAAAATACTAAATTTAGTACAGTTCAAAAATTGAAATAAAACAAAAGTATATTTAACTAATATATAAAATTTTTGTATAAATATATAGACAAGTAAATAAAGTTTATTTTAATAATTAAATAATAATTTTTATTATAGTTAGTGCATGCAAATATTATTATAACTTCTATTAAGAGTTTGATCATCTTTACTAATCAGATATCAAATTATTTTCTAAAAATGCCAAGAACCAGTTTTATAAAAACATATACTAACTCATAATTAGTAAAGTAGTATTTACTAATTTTATTTTAATTTCATTATTAGATTATCAATAAGTCTTTATGCTATTTCTGATCAAGTAAATTTGGAAAAATGTAATAGAGATAAGTATTATATAACAAGTTTTAATTTGTAATAATAGTAGAAATTTAAAGTAAAATAATAAATTAATAGTTTTAAAAATAAATAAACAATGAGCATATTGTTATATATATTCAATTTCAATTTTTAATATGTATATATCTATATATATATTTATATATATATTAAAGACAAATATGTATATTAGACAACCCTTGTATATTTGTATGTATAAAAACCTATCTAGGTTTTAAATTATATATACAATAGCTACAAAAAAAAACTAAATGAATACAGAATTTTTAATAAATATTAATATTTTACAAGTATATATAGTTAATATGAAAACATATACTAACTAGTATTACAATATTAGTATAAATTAGCTTTGTACTTTTTGAAAGTATTAGTTGTGATATATAGGCTCCTCAATATAGCTATTAATTCTGAGTTTTAATTAGTTTTTAGTTTGATAAATTTATATTCCAAAGATAGATAGTCTTATAAAAGGATATCTTTTAATAATCTCTGTATAGATACAGTATATAAATACTAGTTTCTACCTTAATAGAGAAATTGTATATCTTTTAATCCTTTTTTTAATAAAAAAAATTCTTATAAATCATCTTTCTTAATAATTTGCCTGTCTAAATACCCCAATTAATATAATAAATCTAGGAATTTTGAGTTTTATCTTAATTTCTTGTATTGCTTGTAAACAAAACCTTTAATCTCTAGTTTACTATTCTAAACTAACTCAGAATTATTGTCTGTTGCTCTCTATTACAGTACTATGTGATACTTATATGACTAGTAAACTAGTATATATTAATTGAATGTCAATAATTAGAATAACGATTAAAAGTCTAAATACTAATATATAAGCAATAAGATAGTATATAATTATCAGTAATGCAAATGTGTATTAGTAATTAAATATTTAAAGTATCGATTCTAAAGAGGAGATACTAGAAGTTCTTGACCCATAATTGCTTTGAGTTATTCTTAGTAAATAAACTATTTTCTATATAAATACATTATTGGTGATAGTATTTGATACAATACTTTAGTTATCATATAAATTAACTATGCAAGTAAAGACTATTAGTTAAATCAATAAATATATAGTAGTCTGGTAAACTCTGTGACATTTATTTTTAATAAAAATAAAATTAATTTTAACTTTATTTTTTTTAACAAAAACAAAATTTGACAAATTAGAATTCTTTTTACTATTTACTATTCTTTATTACTTTTGTACTATTATTTTTTTCTCTACTACTTTTCTTAATATCTTTATTACTACTAACTTTACTACAAATTTTTTTTTATATAATAATCTTAGTGCTATTTTTTTATATATAAACTTTGATTTCTCTCCAAGCAAATAATTTATTATATAATAAGAGATTTAATTTATAGTGCTATAGCACTATGGTAC